CTGTTATCATCTACTGTTATAATTTGCTACGTAGCTCCATTGTTATAATTTGTTATCATCTACATTGTCATAATTTGTTATCATCTACTGTTATAATTTTGTTATCATCTTCTGTCACAATTTGTTATCATCTTTTTACTGTTACACCTATATTACTCCATTGTTATAATTTGTTATCATCTACTGTTATAATTTGTTATCATCTACTTGTTATAATTTGTTACATTCAATGTTATAATTTGTTATTACTCCATTGTTACAATTCTTGTTATCATCTTCTGTTATACCCATATCATCTAATACACCTACATTACTCCACTGTTATGGCACCTGTTATCATCTACTGTTACACCTATATCATCTACTGTTACAATCTACATTACTCACTGTTACACCTACATTACCCATTGTTACACCTACATTACTCATTGTTACACTCTACATTACCTCCACTGTTACACCTGTTATTTACTCATTGTTACACCTGTTATCATCTATCGTCACACCTGTTATCATCTTCTGTTGGCAGAATTCGTTATCATCTAATGTTACACCTGTTACTGTCTTATACCGTTAAGTAAATCTGTTACTACTCACGTTATAATTTGTTATCATCTCTGTTATAATTTGTTATCATCTACTGTTACAATCTAAGTTATCATCTACTGTTACACCTGTTATCACTCACGGTTACACCTGTTATCTCTACTGTTACACCTGTTATCATCTTACTGTTACACCTGGTTATCATCTATCATTGTTATAACCTGTTATCATTCACTGTTACACCTGTTATCATCTACTGTTACACCTGTTATCATCTTCTGTTGCTAATTCGTTATCATCTACCGGTTACACTCCATATCATCTACTGTTACACCCATATCATCTTCTGTTACACCTGTTATCATCTACTGCTATAATTTGCTATCATCTACTGTTATAATTTGGTTATCATCTACTGTTACACCTTGTTATCATCTACTGTTACACCTGTTATCATCTTCTGTTACACCTGTTATCACCCACCGTTACACCTAAGAATACTTCCATCGTTACACCTGTTATCATCTACTGTTACACCTAAGTTATCATCTACTATAATTTGTTATCATCTACTGTTGCACCTGTTATCATCTACTGTTACACCTACATTACCCATTGGTTATAGTACCCTTGTTATCATCTACTGTTATAATTTACATTACTCCATTGTTACACCTTGTTATCTACTGTTACACCTGTTATCATCTACTGTTATAATTTGGTTATCATCTACTGTTATACCTGTTATCATCTACTGGCTTACACCTAAGCATTACTCCATTGTTACAATTCTGTTATCATCTACTGTTACACCTGTTACTTACTTCTACTGTTACACCTGTTATCATCTACTGTTATAATTTGTTATCATCTACTGTTATACCTGTTATCATCTACTGTTTATAATTCTGTCACTTTCATCTACTGTTATAATTTGTTATCATCTACTGTTACACCTTGCTATCATCTTCTGGTTACACCTGTTATCATCTACTGTTACACCTGTTATCATCTACTGTTACACCTATATCATCTAATATTATAATTTGCTATCATCTATATCATTACACCTTGGTTATCATCTACTGTTACACTTGCTATCACCTACTGTCAGCTCTTACATTACTTCATTGTTACATTCTGTTATTACTCCATTGTTATACCTTACATTACCTTCATTGTTATAATTTGTTATTACTCATTGTTATAATTTGTTAAGTTATCACTTCCATTGTTACACCTGTTATCATCTACTGTTACACTTGTTATCATTCATTGTTATAATTTGTTATCATCTACTGTTGTTAATTTGTTATCATCTACTGTTACACTCATATTACTCCATTGTTACACTCTGTTATTTATCTACTGTTACACCCAGCATTACCTACTGTTATGCACCTGTTATCATCTATCATATAATTCTGGTTATCATCTTCTCTGTTACACCTACATTACCTCCAATTATCACACCTACATTACTCAATGTTACACTTGTTACATCTACTGTTACACTTGTTATCATCTACTGTTACACCTATATCATCTTCTGTTGGCACTCCAATATCACCTACTGTTACACCTACATTACTCAATAAGTTATACCCATATCATCTACTGTTACACCTACATTATCTTCTGTTAATTTTACATTTATCACTGTTACACCTGTTATCATCTATCAGTTATAATTCTGTTATCACCACTGTTACACCTACATATCTACTGTTACACCTGTTATCATCTAATAAGTTACACCTGTTATCATCTACTGTTACACTCATATCATCTTCTGTTACAATTTGGTTATTGTTCATCGTTACACCTTGTTATCATCTTCTGTTATGTTCCGTTATCATCTACCGTTACACCTGTTATCATCTACTGTTACACCTGTTATCATCTTACCGTTACACCTATCATCTACTACATAATTTGCTATCATCTTCTGTTACACCTGTTATCATCTACCGTTACACCTGCTATCATCTACCGTTACAATTTGTTATCATCTACTGTTACATCCGTTATCATCTACTGTTACAATCTGTTATCATCTAATGTTACACCTACATTACTCCATTGTTGGCAACGGCGGTCATCTACTGTTACACCTGTTATCATCTACTGTTGACCTGTTATCATCTACTGTTACAATTTGTTATCATCTTCTGTTATATCTGTTATCATCTACTGTTACACCTAAGACCATCTACTGTTACACCTATATCATCTATCATTACACTCCATATCATCTACTGTTACACTCCATATCTTCTAGTCACATCTACATTACCCATTGTTACAATTTGTTATCATCTACTGTTATACCCATATTATCTACTGTTACACCTATATTACTCCACTGTTAGCACTCATTATCTCCATTGTTACACCTGTTATCACCTCTACTGTTACACCTACATTACCTACTGTTACACCTGGTTATCATCTACTGTTACACCTGTTATCACCTACTGTTACACCTGTTATCACCTATTACACCTGTTATCATCTACTGTTACACCTGTTATCATCTACTGTTACACCTGTTGTCGCTGTTCGTTGCACACACACACACACACACACACACACACACACACACACACACACACACACACACACACTAAAAGACTAAAAATGTACATTGAGAGAGAGAGAGAGAGAGAGAGAGAGAGAGAGAGAGAGGAGACAGAGAGCTGTTGGGGACCCTGTCTCTGTTTCTTTTGCTCTCTCACGTGGGTTTTCCGGGGCATTGTGGGACAGACATGGAAACCTGGGAGAGAGAGAGAGAGAGAGAGAGAGAGAGGAGAGAGAGAGAGAGAGAGAGAGAGAGAGCCACGGGAGCAGGTTGTATCACAAACACAACACAACATGTTAGGTTTAGGTTAGGTTAGGTTGTTAGAAGAGTTAGGGTTAGTTAGGGTTAAGTTAGGTTAGGTTAGATTTCACAAGCACACGCAAGGAAAGTATTAGACACACACACACACACACACACACACACACACAGACACACACACAGACACACACACGAAGACGTTACACACACACACACACACACACGCACACACACAGACACACACACAGAAGACGTTACACACACACACACACACACACACACACACAGACACACACACAGAAGACGTTACACACACACACACACACACACACACACACACACACACAGAAGACGTTACACACACACACACACACACACACACACACACACACACACACACAGAAGACGTTACACACACACACACACACACACACACACAGAAGACGTCACACACACACACACACACACACACACAGACACACACACAGAAGACGTTACACACACACACACACACGACGACACACACACAGAAAACGTTACACACACACACACACACACACACAAGACACACACACAGAAGACACACACACAC